GTGAGGCAAGGTTGTCTTGTTTAAAACTGTTTACAGTAACTTAGGTAGTGAGGCAAGGCTGTATTATTTAAAACTGTTTACAGTAACTTAGGTAGTGAAGCAAGGTTGTCTTGTTTAAAACTGTTTACAGTAAATAAGGCAGTGAGGCAAGGTTGTCTTTTTAATAACTGTTTATGGTAATTTAGGCACTGAGACAAGGTTGTCTTATTCAAAACTGTTTATGGTAATTTAGGCACTGAGACAAGGTTGTCTTATTTAAAACTGTTTATGGTAATTTAGGCAGCTAGACAAGGCTATCTTCCTTGCACGTGAGTAAACTTTCATGAAAGGCTAATTTTTATTGGATAGTGGTGAACATTATCCACAGCAAGGAAGCAATGAGTCAAAGTCCATAACTGTTTTACCTCTGCAATGTTTATTGATAAAAACTTATGAAAATCAAATTTTGATGATATGATCCAATTCCTGGTCCGTATATATATATCCAAACAAGTTTCTGTTAATTTTGTAAAACTTTAAACAGAATAACTGTGTTGTGTTCTCTCCATGGGATTTTGTTTTTTCAGTTTCCTTGTTAGAAGGAAGTCTGGAAGGAGTAGATGCCTTAAAGGAAGTTAAGTCGGAGCTACTATCGAAAAAGGAGGTAATAATATCTCTTGCTGGTTGTTCCTTATTTCTTTTATTACTGCTTTATTTTGGTGCTAAATTAACATTCAAAAAATTTACTTGTTGTATTTTTAAAAAACAAAACAAAAAACTAACACAATGGTAATCTCGACTAATATATATATAAAATATGAACAATCGATGTGTTAAAATAAACTTAATTTTTATGTGTGTAGCATGTGTAGTTATATGATAATTTAAATTCATAATTACTTTTATTTACACACAGCTGTTCAATAAAATTCATACACAAGTTTACTTTCAAAGTAATATCCATAGAGGAGAAATTACAAACGTTAAAATAGCAGGTTCTCTTAACAAGTCTGAAAGAAAACTATTGATAATTGATGTAGGACACCAATCTGTATCCTTGTTTTTTTGTTGCGTATCATATAGTAGTAATTATGATGATGTATTTTGTACACCGGTGTTTGTGACTCGGTCTGATTTTATTGATTTACAACATATCTTTTTGATTTCTGAAAGAATATTTAGAACTCTTTAAACATTCAAAATTACAGTTGTTCCAAACACACAGTTTATATTTGTTTTTTTTTCCTTTGAAATAGGAGAATGTGTTATTTAAAATGAGTAAAAAAAAGATCTTTTATTGTGACAATAAATCGTTTTTCTCGGTTTGTAATAATACAGTTTCTATGATGTATAGTTTTTTAGCAAATGCATGAAATTTTATTGGAAGACCTGCACAAGCATCTTTATCAAAGGTCAACAACCGAAGTTCTTCGAAGATTTAAAAGACAAGGTTCTGAAAGAAGAAGTCACGCTGATGGTATTGCAGGTACTCCCAGCAAGAGAACAGGTCCATTTACTGACTCGGTTTCTCCTGGTAATTAAGTACATTGGATTATTTACTTCTTTTGTACCATTATACAATAATTGAATTTGTTTGTTATGTATAATAATGAATATTGAAGGGTTACCATTGGTTATTAATAAAATCTAACATACAGACATCCATAATATGTAATCAAATCTTGTCTTTAAATCTGAGAACATCCAAAATACCCAATTTTACATTATTTATGGTTAGGGATAGTCACATGACATTAGGGACAGTCCTATGACATGTAATAAAATCTTACAAACAAATTAGGATATAAGAATATTGCTCAATTTTCCTTCATTTTGTTTTTTCTTTTCCAAGTGGCATGGCATAGCCCAGTGTTTAAGGCACTTCATTTGCAATCTGCGGGTCGAAGGATTGAAACCCATCACAATACATGCACGGCCTATCAGATGTGGCAGCATTATAATGTGATGGTCAATCCAACTATTTGTTGGTAAAGAGAAGCCCAAGAGTTGGCAATGGATGGTGTTGGCTTGCTGCCTTCCATCTGATCTATCTCTTCAGAGAAGCCCAAGAGTTGGCGATGGATGGTGTTGGCTTGCTGCCTTCCATCTGATCTATCTCTTCAAAATTAGGGACAGCTAGTGCAGGTAGCCCTTGATTGGCTTTGCACAAAGTTCAACAAAACATAATCTTTCCTAAGTTGTCATAATACAGACTTTAGTTGAATGGTGACTGATACTTGGCATTATGTATTTACAGATACCTCATATTAGGAGCCTACACGCATACATTAACTATTGATTAAACAATATGTTTGATTAAATTGTCAGTTATGCCGTGGTGTAATAATCTCTCACTTTTTTATTTTATGAATCACTCTGATTTTAAGTTCATCCCTTAATTCAGAGGCTCTTAAGTGACAATTAACATTTTTGATGATTTTATTAAAATTGATCTAATTCTGTCTAGGAACCCTGACTTTAGAGGGGCCTGTGATGGAAGATGTCATGGCTGTTGATCCGGAGGGGAATAGTCCACATTTCATTGCCATCTTAGTTGAGTGTTTGTCTCTGTTGAATAAAGTACCCGAGGCTGTTGAGGTGAGATTCGTTATCTTATCATAGTTCGTAGAAAAATCTTGAAAATTAAAATTGTGTTGGATAATTTTTGATGATAAGAAAGTTGGCAGATTAAACCAAAAGCTCTGTGTTGTGTTTTCTATACAGAGAATTGTCTATTTTACTTCTAGTTCAAACTTTATTCCCACAGGAAACACGTTGATGAGTTTAGCTGAATTTTTAATGGCCTTTGTCTGAAAGTTAGAAGGCCAGAAAAAATTATGACAGTTATGGGACATTGTCTACTTTTTGCATGTTATTATTCTGTGTTCTTTAGTGCATTGTTTTATGAAATAAAAAAGTATTGTAAGTTTCATTGACAGTCGACAGTATAAAAAAAAAAGTGATGACCCAGGTAAGTACTTTAGTTCTTGTTTTTTATGTGTATTTATTATTATAAAAGTAATTGAAATGTAAAAGTTAGAAACTTTTTAAGTTAGGTGAGGCTTGATTGGGTAAAATAAAGAATAATAATAAAAAACTTTTCATGAGGTGTGCTCACAAGTAACTTGTGAGTAGCCCATGTGTTATGTGATTCAATAGTGTAATGTGAGCTACAGGTTTGCTAGGTGATGTACAATTTGTGTGGTGAGAATACTAGTTAGACAGGGTTCAAAGGGCAGATGTATACTGTTACGTGCTTAAAGCTATTTAAGATAAACAATAGTAGTTTCATGTTACAATTTGAAGTCGTTCTAGAAAGAAAAAAGGGGTAATTTAGATTTATTTTGTTTTGGTGGTTACGAGGTCTGTCAAATTGACCAACCTTGTGTAGAGTTAGGGTAGAGAAAATAACAGATAAAATAAAAAGGTTTACTGAAATATAACACTTGAAATGTATTTAGGAGGTTTTAGAGACTACACAAATGACATTTGAGATTTTTCAGATGAAGAAAAGTATTTTTAATCTTAACATGAAAATCACTTTTCATTTGGAGCAGTCAACACTTTTACTCTTTATATTCATGGAGAAATATTGCGTGAAAATACTACATTAAAATATTCAAATTTTTTTGTCTACAAATGATGCTTAATGATTACTGAAAACTTGTAAAATTTTGTGAATGAAGATACACAAAACATATGAGAAGTTATAGTATGGAAACCGTAAAGGCCGCTTTGGGGGTCGCGAACTCGGCCGATTCAACCAAGCACATAGCGAGAGAATTAATTCCTTAACAGCTCCGAGAAGTCTTGTTTGTGAAGAATGCTTTATTTTTAGAAATTTTCTGTTCATTCCTAAGTATAGTTTTATATTTTCTATCAAAACCATGTAAACTTATTGTGAGATATGTATACTTTATGATATCAAAAACCGTGTAAACTTATTGTAAGATATGTATACCTTATGATATCAAAACCATGTAAACTTATTGTAAGATATGTATACCTTATGATATCAAAACCATGTAAACTTATTGTGAGATTTGTATACTTTATGATGTTGAGAACATTTACATGTGTATTTTTCAGGATATCAAGTCTAGAAGTCAAAAGGAACTAATGGCCATTGTCCGACGAACTGCCCAGCACGTACTGGACACTGCTCAGAACTTTACACAAGCTCCTTCCACACTTGTGAGTTCCATATCGGGAACTATTCCCATTGCTTCTGACGATCAAGTTTTTACACAACCACAGCTTCTTATGGAAATGCTGGAGGTGCTTTTCGAGCAATTCCGCTGCGTGACCCGGGCTCACAAGATTGTGCTGGATCACTTACGAAGAATTGGTGTAAGAAAATAACCTAGAACATAGGTTTTATGTTGCAAAAACTAGTACTAACTTTATTTTCAAACAAAACATTTTAGAAAACAAAATTACTATTGAATAAGTAAAAAAATAAGATGCAATTCTTGTGTAATGTGAACTGTCATTTTTATTATCATTATTAATTTTTCAAAAACAAGCTATTACTGTTTCTAGATAAAACTTTCAAAATGTTTTTTAATTTTTGTTAGGCCTTACTTGAGTTTTTAAGATCTTGTTCACAATTAATTTGTAAAAGTTTTATGTTAGTTTTTAGTTCCTGTAAAGTGTGGGGTAAGTTTTATATGTGTATATATATATATATTTCTTATGTAACATTTTCCTCTTAATAGGTTTAAACAGGTAAGATATATTTTGATAAAAGATGAAAAAAATGTTTACCTGTTTTAGAACATTGGATTTCTGTTAAACTCGAGATGTGAAAATGCGTGATAACGTAAAACATTTGGTTTGTCACAAAATTATTTTGTCTAACAGTGTTTGTGAGCAAACTTTTCTGTTCTTCTTGCTCGTTAAACAACATTTACGATTTAAAAACGAAAGCTTTGTACGTAGTGAAAGTAGGACTAACTGTTTCACGACTGTGTGAGCATATCTCGCTCCGAGGTCAAAATTGCAGCATTGAATTAAAAAAAGAAGTTGTAGGTATTCTTTCAGGCAATAAAAAGAAACAAAAACTTTAGAGTTAAATATTTTATTTCATTTTATACATTAAAATTATAAAAATAAATAGCAAATTTTGACTTTTTAATAAAATCCTTAATTTTTGTGAATCTTTTTTTTCCGAGCCTAATGTGCCATTCACAGTTCCTACGAGGAATATCATAATAGTTTTGAGAAAAGCAACATTAATCTGACCTTGTAACTAAAGTACAAGTCTAATTTTTATCAAGTTTAATCAATCGCTGTTTCTCGACCAACGTAATTTAGATTCTTTTCACGCTATACTGGACTTTACACAATCCAGTGTTGCTATAATATAGGTTTGGTAGAATAAGTTTAGAACAAGATCTGAATAGGTTGTTATATTACTGGTAGTGTTATTATGAACTGGTTTGTGTAATAGAGGAAAATGCCAATAAAACAAATATCTTAGTATCAATTCCAGAATTTTGTTTTAAAACCTTCTTTCTATTAACATGTTCACTGACATTTTCTGTAAGTTGTGTGTCATTGTTTGAAAGAACTCTTAGTTAATTGGGTTTATTGCCAAGAACAGTGATGTAAAGACAAAAAATGAAAGGAATGCAAAGTTTGTTTTCTACAGATAAAAAATAAATAATTTATAAAACTTAATATTGTCATTATTTATAAAACAGAATGCAGAAAATAGTCCTGGAGAAGTCGTCTTGTATGAATTGGCAGATATCTGGTCAAAAATCCAGGCTGTGGTAAGTCTACTTGTTTTAGTTAAAACTAGTGATTTTAACCTTTGTTTGTCTACTTGTTTCCGTTAAAACTAGTGATTTTAACCTTTGTTAGCCTTGTTTTAGTTAAAACTAGTGATTTTAACCTTTGTTTGTCTACTTGATTCAGTTAAAACTAGTGATTTTAACCTTTGTTAGTCTTGTTTTAGTTAAAACTAGTGAATTTAACCTTTGTTTGTCTACTTGTTTTAGTTAAAACTAGTGAATTTAACCTTTGTTAGTCTTCTTGTTTCAGTTAAAACTAATGATTTTAACCTTTGTTTGTCTACTTGTTTTAGTAAAGAATTTTTTAGCTTTGGTAAGTCTGTCCTTTTAAAGTACAACCAGTACTTTTTAATCATGTAAGTCTAATTGTGTCAGTAAAACCAGTACTTTTTAATCATGACAAGTCTAATTGTGTCAAGTAAACCAGTTACTTTTAATCACGTAAGTCTAATTGTGTCAGTAAAACCAGTACTTTTTAATCATGTAAGTCTAATTGTGTCAGTAAAACCAGTACTTTTTAATCATGTAAGTCTAATTGTGTCAGTAAAACCAGTACTTTTAATCATGTAAGTCTAATTGTGTCAGTAAAACCAGTACTTTTTAATCATGTAAGTCTAATTGTGTCAGTAAAACCAGTACTTTTTAATCATGTAAGTCTAATTGTGTCAGTAAAACCAGTACTTTTTAATCATGCAAGTCTAATTGTGTCAGTAAAACCAGTACTTTTTAATCATGCAAGTCTAATTGTGTCAGTAAAACCAGTACTTTTTAATCATGCAAGTATTTTACAAAATACTAGTCTACCAAAACACAGCCAAGACAGGTCACTTTGTAAAGACTAAAGGTCAGTTTTATATTATTGGATACGGTAACATGAGTGTACATGTGCTGCGT